ATGGGTGCATATATATCACTGTGGTATGATTCTTTTAATTCTTTTGGGAAGATACCCATCAGGGGAATAGCAGGGCCAAATGGGACTTCCAGTCCTAGTTCTTTGAGGTTTCTCCATACTGATTTCCACAGTGGTTGCACCAGTCTACACTCCCACCAACAATGGAGAAGGGTTCCTTTCTCCCTCTTCACACCTTATTTGGCAACAAAAAAGTGAGTGAAAATCCATGAAGGCAGAAAATGGTTAACTTCCTGTTGAAATACTGATATTTTTCAATAGGGGAAAGAAATTTTAAAAGACAGTTTGCACTCCTTAAAAATAATATCTAAAGGAATGTAAGAATCAAATATATGTAATAATAGTTCAATGTGCTATTCAAAAAAAAAAGCACAGAAATAACTAAAAATACATTATTTCACATATGTATTCCTAGTGATTGAGTTTTGTTAGGTTATTATCACATATATGCACAGAAAAATTCATATTTCTAATGCTAAAGACAATCACAGCTTTTGCCAAGTCAGTTACTTAATAAAGATGATGATGAAGAAGCAAGATCAAAACTGTCATAACTTTTCTCCTTGTTTTATTTGAATATGGGTAGTATTTTTTAATGCTTCAGATTCTTCCAAAAATATCAATTTAATGGATTACCTTCTGAAAATGAGCAATTCTCATACCATCAGAAAGGCTTCCTCAGTATCACATCTTTCAAAGAAAGGAATTGGGAAATCTAGCTTCAAGTCCTGGCTTCATCTTTTTGGACTTTCCCTCCTTCCTACCTTTAAAAACTGAGAAGATTGAGTTATTTTATCTCCCGAATCTCTTTCAGTTATAAAAGTGATTCTGCAACTTGCCTTAGGTACTTTGAGATATTTGAACAGTTTTAAGAAAATCTGGGGTCCTGTTGACAGAAGTTGTATGCCTACAGAAGTATAGAATACAACTTGCAAACAGTTGCTACTCATTACAGCTGATATGCTATAAATGGTTGTTGGCACTGAGACCAGATGTCATGGAAAATCCTGCATCATTAGGAAGCAATGGGGTGGGGAAAAACCTAGTGTGAGAATGTCAGTGGAATCTATTTAAGAACCAACCTAAAAAGTGATTGCATTGTAGGAATTTAGAGATAATCTCAATAGACAAAGACTAACATAATGGATTGCATTGAAGTTAGCTTCATTAATCATGACATTTATCAGGTTTTGACCATTCGTTCCAAATATTAAATGTTCTACACATTGAAATAGCCATGGACACTGGTCATAGTGAAGTAGCCTTCTAAGTTCATTTGAGGATAAAACTAATTATTAGTTACAGATGTCAGTGCGTTGTCCCAACCCATATACTCAGAATCAGGATACGAACCAAGATTCTCACCTTTTTTCTAAATCATGTTGCTGCATGGTCACCTGTAGCTGCATTAGAAGATCAATGTTTTTAACCATACATTCTCATTCATGCTAGAAAATCAATATAGTGGGATAGTAGCAAATAAATAAGTGATGATCCTTCCTAAGGAGGCAGCCACAGACCAGGCGAGAGTCTCTACTCTTTCCCACTTTGGTGTAATATAACCACAAATGATCTCTCTTTCTGTTTTTTTTTTGGGGGGGGGCGGTACTGGGGATCAAACTCCAGTCCTTGCGCTTGCAGGGCAGGCGGCAGAACCACTGAGCTAAATCCCCGGCATGATCTCTCTTTCTTTAGACAATTAGAATCCGGTCTCATCTACTCGGCAATGAACTTTGTCATACAATGTATTTTCAAGTTGGGAGGCTATTTGGGTGGGAGTGAGTCAAGAAAATCAGAATAAATGTGCCTGTCCTGGTTAACGTGTTTCTTTTTTTGTTGTTGTTCTTTTATTAGTACATTTTAGTTATACAATTCATTTACATTTATCATTGGTTGTTTGTACCTGTACATGATATATCTTGGTTCTTATTTTTTTCACAATTACATGTGGGCCCTTCACCCCCTCCACCCCTCCCTATTTACATAGATTTCCTTTTTTTCTTTTCTTTTCTCATAGTTTTTCCTTTCCCTCTTTTCCTTTCCCCTTCCCCTCCCTTCACTTCTTCATCTTTGGACCTTTTTTCCTATTTCAAATTATCAGTTATTCATTTTAATCATTTTAACCCTTGTTTACATTATCAGTTTCTCACACTAGAGAA